TTAGACCGAGATACGAATTGATGTCCTTATATTGTGAGAAGTTCGGTCACAAGAAGTCGAACTACAGAACTCTACAGAAAGATGGGAAGAATGGCACTGCGAAGCCGAATCAGATTGAGCCAAAGAAAAAAGAAGACAAGAGCACCAATGCGGTGGCTGCCAACTTGGATGCCGAGATATTCCTCCTTGGTTAGGATAATTTTTTGAATGTTGCATATGAAGATTGCACCTGATATATTGACTCAAGTGTCTCATTTCACGTCACTCCACACAAAGGTTTTTTCTCCTCTTATCAAGGTGGTGATTTTGGAGTTGTGAAAATGGAAAATCAGGTGACCAGTAAAATTATAGGTGTCAGTGATATAACCCTGACCACGGTTGACGGGTGCCGACTTGTGTTGAAAGATGTAAGGCATGTGCCTGACATGCGACTGAATCTAATCTTGGTTGGCAAGCTTGATGATATCGGGTTAGTCAACTACTTCGAAAGTGGTAGATGCAAATTGGCCAAAATTTGGTGGTTTTCTGAGGCAAGAAAGATGGCTCCTTGTACATGATGCAAGGAAATATAAATGGTGAAGAAGTCAACTCTGTCCGAGATGGACCTAGTATGAAGTTATGGAATAAACACCTCGACCACATGAGCGAAAAAGGGCTCCAAATTATGAACGAGAAAGGATCATTGATCGGGTTGAAGGGTCAAGTGCTGGAGAGTTTCATGCACTGCCCAGCTGGAAAGCAACAACGAGTGTCTTTCGTGATACCAGATCAACCCAGATAATGTAGGTATATTATTGACCTCGTTCATACCGACATAAGTTCCATGTCGAAAAGATCCCTTGGTGAAGCTTAATATTTTGTTTCTTTTATTGATGATCATTCTCGGAAATTGTGGGTATATTTATTGAAAACTAATGACTAGGTACTCCAAGCCTTTAAGGATTTTCATGCTATGGTGGAAAAGAATACTGACAAGAAGCTCAGAGTGATTTGATCTGACAATGGTGGTTAGTATTGCAGCCTATTTGATGTATACTATAGATCGACCGAGATCTGACTTGAGAAGACGCCCCCAAGACTCTGCAACTAAATGGACTTGTTGAAAGGAAGAATCAGACTATTGAAGAGAAGGTTCGAAGTATGTTATCCAATGTAGATTGCCGAAATCTTTCTGGGGCGAGGCTGTCAAAACTGTTGTTGACTTGATAAACCTCTTAACATCACTACCATTAGATGGAGAAAATCTAAAAGAAGTCTGGACAGGTCAGAAAGTAATCTACGATCAATTGGAGATATTTGGATGCCTAGCTTTCATGCATATCCCTAAAGACGAAAGGGCGAAGCTCGATGCAAAGACGAATAAATGCATTTACCTCGGTTCGTCAAGATGCGAATTCAGATTCAAACTTTGGAATCCAATCAACAGAAAAATATTTAGAAGCCGAGATATGGTATTTCATGAGAACGAGACTATTCAATACATCCCTAGGCCCAAAGTTTGGGTTGTTATCCGATGAGAAGAACCCGACCCTCCTGTCCGAGCTAAAGTAGTGGGAGAAAATCAAGAGAATGAAGAAAATGATGAGATTAAGAAAGGTACTAAAATCTGAGGTCTTAAGGACAGAGATGCTAAGGTCCAAGATCCTGAGATCCGTGGTGAAAATGAGGGTGTGTATAACAACCATTCCGTTTCCTAAAACTATTTCTCAAAAGAAATACTTTTTTTTTCTATTTATGTGCCTTGGAATAGTTCTTGAGGAAAAAAAATGTGTTTGATAATGTGTTCTATTTTTATTCCGAGAATGAGAATTGCGTTTGATAACACAACAAAAAATATAATAAAAAATAATTCCTATTAAGTATAAAAAATTTCTGGATCATCATTTTCCTTTTCATATGGCGTGGTGGTTGTGGCGACGGTGGCATGGTGGTGGTAATGGTGTCTATGGTGATGGTGGCGGTGGCGTGGCAATGGCATAGTGGTGGTGGTGCTGGTGACGGTAGTGGTGGTTGGTGGTGGTGGCAATAATGGTAGCAATGATGGTGGCATGGCGGTGGTGGTAGTGGTGGTGATGGTGACATCAATGGATACGGTAATAGTGGTGGCGGTGACGGTAGTTGTAAGAACTCGCACCGTTAAATTAGGAATTTAATTATTTAATTATTTAATTACGAGATTAATGAGATAATTCCATAATTGACCCTAATAATTATGAGAATGCTTAAATAATTATGGTAACTGAGTAATAATGTTGAAAGTCGCTTTTCTGACGAAAAGTGCAGATACCGATTCTGCCTCACGGTATAAATGCGTATTGATAAAATATCCCGAAAAATTATGAAAAGTGTGTATATATTACTAGAATAATATATAGGACTAGTATAACAAGTTTGAAGTCAAAATAATGAGAATTGGTGTCAGAACTGATACCGGCTACGTAAAAACGTGTACCGGCAAAGTGCTGCGAAAAATAAAATAAAAATATGACAAATCTTAGAAAAATGGCTAGGTTAATAATCCAAAGTTTGGGATTAAAATGATAAGTGTAGCTATTAGTGATAATACAGTGTGTTTTAACTTAAACCGCCTATATATACTTAATGACACAGATTTTTAGGGCATTTTCATACACTCTACGTGCCTCCATTTGCTGAAACTTCATCAGCCTCATTGCCACCCTCTTCCTCTCTTGAAACACAACCAAAAATCCACCTTTCTCTTTGATTTTCTTCCTTAGTCTTGTAAACACTTGAATGTGTGCATTGGGAGGGAGAAAGGCACCTTCTTTGGAGTGTGGTAACTACTGACTTGGGGTGTGAGGACTGCCTCTGAGTGTGGGATGGTGTAGGAACCATTTCATGAGTTGTTGAGCTTCAAGGAGCTAACTTTGTGGAGAAAGAACCATTCTTAATCACCATTTTTGTGGCTTTGTAAAGTCAGATTGTTGGGGCTTCATAGAGAGCTCCAAGAACACTTTTAGCTTCTGTTTTGAAGCCTTGGGTATGTTCCTTACCTTGATCATGAGTTTTCTTTGGTTAAAAACGGAGTCTTAGCATGTTTAATGAGTTGTTTAAGTAGCTATCATGGTCATTGACCTAAAGGGGTTTAAAAATGCATGCTTTAACGTTCTAATGTGTTAAAAATGGAACCTTGGGAGAGATATCTCGCGAAATGCAGAATCTGCATTCTGTCACGACATATCCGGATATGGATATCCGGATATGATATCCGGATATGGCCCCGACAAATATCCGAATATTATGGGATTTTCGAGACATTGACAGATTCTATGCATACAGGACTGTATTTGGGGTTTGTGGACCCTAGTTTGGTTTAGTTGAAACTCTGTAATAATTAATTAAGTCAGAATCAAAGTGATTAAGGGCTTATGGCTTTGTGAGAAGCCTAAAGACATGAAACGAAGAAGAAAACATTGTTGCTGTGTCTTGAATTATTAGATGATGAATGTTGATGTGATTTTTGGTCTAAAACAGATTGTGATTCTCCTGTTTGTGGACTTTGAGCTTGGTTGGACCCTTATGTTGGATAGTTAGCTTGCGAGGTAAGCTTTCGTGTCATCGATTTAACCATTGTTGGGTCCACCATACCCCATGGGGAAATGGTTTATATGCATGATGTGTTTTCATGTATTGATATTTGAAATGCTGTTAAGCTTTTATGTGCAAGTGCCTTATGATATGCATGTGTTGTTCCACCTAGACGGTAAGCGTGAGTATGTAGGAGACATACAATAGGGTGATTCTGTGGGTGGGTGCAAGTGGTGTCTTGCACTGATTGTAGGTAATAGACGTATGTAAATCCTGTATTTCTCTGGCTAGTAGAATATTTGACACGCATGACATGATTATTCTGCTGCATTGTACTGATTTTGGAACTTATACTATTTTACTATTTTTAGAACTTATATTGCACATTTAAGTGAGCTTGGGGTGGAGAAATCCTTGAGGACCCCTTATCTTACTGAGATTTTTTTTAGAGATCTCATCCCACGTTTGGGGCACATTTTTAGGTTCATGTAGCTCGGGGGTTGATACCTCGGGCGGCAGGAGGCCGGAGCTGAGTTGAGATTTATGTTGTTTGATGATGATTTGCTGGATTCTGAAATGCTTTACATTTATTATCATGTTATTGATGTGAGACTCTATTGGGCTTTGTTGCCTTATTTGGTGAGCATGGGGTTATCCATGCCACATTGACTTTACTTTGATGCTTTAGATTCGAGTTGTATAATGTATCAAGATTATGGTCTGATCCGCAGAAGCTGATGTTTGCCACCTACATGCTGGAGGGCGACGCTCCTGAGTGGTGGATGAACACCTCTCACGTCTATGAGATACAGGGTCATGTGATTACATGGCCATTCTTTGAGGATTGCTTTATGGGTAGATATTTTCCCTACGATGCGCAAGAGAGGAAGCAGGGAGAGTTTGACCGTCTGGTGCAGGGCTCGTTGTTTGTGGACGAGTATTTGGCTAAGTTCAATGAACTAGTCAAGTTTGCGCATTTTCGCATTGTTATGCCGACCCCAACATTCTTGGCTTCTAAGTTCTGAAAGGGACTTAATGAGGAGATAGCTGATCGTATTGTTGGGGCTGCATCTAGAGATTTTGGCATTTTGGTTCAGCAATGTCGTGACATCGAAGATGTTTGTATTGTGAGCAATGCCAAGAGGGCCAAAGTAGCTGAAGTGAAAGGAACTGGTAGTTTCACTTCCTGGAAGGACAAGAAGTTTGTTGGAAAAGGTAAAGGAAAGCAGTTGGCTGCTAGGCAGACGCCTAGCCAGTTTTAGAATACTTTTACTCAGGGGAGTTTAGCTAGGCCTCATACTCCCAGATGCTCGGTATGTGGGAAATTCCATGTGGGGCCGTGTGCTACCGGCCAGTTGATCTATTTCCAGTGTTGCCAGGCGGGCCACTACTCCAGAGATTGTCCGTCGTCGACCGCGAGAGCTGTAGCAGTTTAGGCAAATCCATTGCAGATGATTCCTACTGCACCTACAACGGCACCTGTTGTGCCACCTACCACCGGTCGTGTTTATACTTCGGATCGACAGCAGTCGGACAGAGCTCCGAACCTTGTGAGAGGTACCATTTCTATTGGTAGTTGTGTCATAAATGTATTGTTTGATTCCGAGGCGATGCATTATTTTATCGCGACCCCGATTGTTGTGGGGCTTAAGTTGCCCATTGCTGTGTCTTCTCCACCGTTGCGGGTGACTATCGCCACTGGAGAAAAGTGCGATACCTCCACTGTACATCGAGATGTCGTGTTTCAGTGGGATGACCGTGAGTTTTCAGTGGATCTGATGGGATTGCCGGTGGCTAATTTAGAGATCATCCTTGGCATGGATTGGTTGTTCAAAAGTTATGTGTGTTGGATTGTGTGATTGCATAACATGATGTATGAATTATGTTTATATATTGAACGTTGTATTGAAGTGTTTGATAATATAACCTGAGGAACTAGGTTAATTGAGTGGGTTATTGGCCATCAGAGTATTGTGGACTATCCCTTGGGGGGGATGTATCCGAAGAGGGTGCCTCTGAGGAGTTTGATTGGATGCTCAGTTGATGTGTGATTCATTGAGTGGTCCTTGTGTACGAGGTACACTGGAGACTGGTATGCCTACTAGTTCCTTGGCCGATAACCTATGTCATGGGTTTCCCTTTGAGGATTGGATCCTAAGAGTGTTGACTCTTGGAAGTTCCATGAGGGCACCGATTTGAGTTTGACTCATCGCGTAGTCCGGGTGCACAGATCAATCATTTTTAGTTTGCCTCAGGAAATTATAATGCATTAAGAAACTTGAATTATGAGTTTAAACTCTACAACCACCAAGTAGTGGGATGAGTAAAATATACGAGGAGTGGTATGCCAAGTTGGGCATGGAAGGTAAGATGCCTTATGCCATTACACGTTGTGATGATGCTTTATTTTAAAAACGTAAGAGAATATATCTTATTACTGGTGAGTGGGGAACACTCTCTAGTCAGGAATGTCGAGAATGTGAAATTTTCTTCAAGGAGTTGAGTGTGTAACACTTGAACTTTGTGGCAAGGCCACACACGATCTGTCATATGCGAGGCAAGTGTATGTACAATTAGTTTTGTGGGTCGAGTGGTCTCCATAACTCTAGGTTAATATGTACATTATTGATATGTTTAATATGTAGTTGACATGTTAACACCATGGATAGTGCTAAGCATGAAATAAGTACGATAAATTGTGGTAATGTATCAATGTACTTCACCTTTATTGACTTTCGATTTTGCATATGACATGGAGATTGAGGTATACAATTATATGAAATATTTGATTTATTATGTTATTGGAATTGAAAATTCTGCAGGTGTACGTGAACTAAGGTACGTTACTATGTGAATTAGCATGATAAATAACATGTACTAATTGAAATGAACATGATTATGATTTCGTACTGTGAAAAGAATATGATTTTATTATGAGAATAATGAGTTATAAAATTGTAAGTCAAGTCGAGGCTAGAGTCACAGAATAGGACCTAAACTCACCTGAGTTGTTGTGAGAAATAGAGTTTGGGAGTCAGGTCACCTCTATTGATAGAGTGACTGGTGATCCCAAGGGATCGAATGACTTTGATGTCATTGAGAATTTTCAGGATCTGACTGTGACCTCTTTGTTTGCGGGTGCACTTCTCGAGATGGAGACTGTGAGAGTCGAGAATGAAATGATGGAAAAGATTAAAGAGGCGCAGGTGCAAAAAGAGTGCCTTGATTATGTGAAGAATCAGGACGGCGTGTCTTGGAACGAAGATGGTTTGTTGATGTTCCAGAAGAGGATTGTGATTCCTCGAGGTCATTTGACTGAGGAGGTGATGGCCGAGGCCCACAAGGACCAATTCACTGTCCACCCTGGTGCTACAAAGATGTACCAGGACTTAAAGAGAAATTTCTAGTGGTCGGGCATGAAGAAAGACATAGTGGTCTATGTGTCCAGATGTTTGATTTGCCAGAAGGTGAAGATAGAACACCAGAAATCGTCTGGTAAGCTTCAACCTCTTGAGATTCCGCAATGGAAATGGAAGAGAATTTCTATGGACTTCGTGGTGGGATTGCCTAAGACTCAGGCTGGTTGTGACTCTATCTGGGTCATTGTGGGCAGATTGACCAAGTCTGCCCATTTTCTTCCGGTAAAGGTGAGCTTCACTACTGAGCAGTTGGCCAAGCTGTATGTTCGCGAGATCGTGAGACTTCACGGGGTGCCCGAGAGTATCATCAGTTATAGGAATCCGAAGTTCACATCTCGGTTCTGGGAGGCGCTGCAGGGAGCTTTTGGTACTCAGTTGAGATTGAGTACAACCTATCACCTTCATACTAACGGACAGACTGAGCGGACCATCCAGACCTTGGAGGACATGTTGAGGGCTTGCACCTTGGAGCAGGGTTCAGCATGGGATATGTACCTGCCATTCGTTGAGTTTTCGTACAACAACAGTTTCTATGCTAGCCTAGGCATGGCACCCTACGAGGAGTTGTATGGTAGGAGGTGTCGGACTCCTACCTGTTGGTCTGAGGTTGGAGACAAGGAATTATTTGGTTTGGATTTCGTCCAAGATACCACCTAGCAGATCCAGATGATCAGAGAGAAACTGAAGCAGGCGCAGAATCGCCAGAAGAGTTATTATGATGTTAAGCATCGACAACTGGAGTTCAGTGAGGTGAGCACATGTTTGTGAGACTATCACCTGTCACCGGTGTTGGTCGGGCTCTCGGAGTTAGGAAACTTAGCCTGCGATTCATTGGGCCATACCAGATACTTGGAAGAGTAGGATCTGTTGCCTACCGGCTTGTCTTGCCTCCGAACTTAGCCAACATGCAAGACGTGTTTCACGTGCCTCAGCTTCGGAAGTATATTGCAGAACCATCGCACGTGGTGCAGCCTGATGATGTGGAGGTTCGAGAGAACTTAAAGACTCCCGTCGGACCGCTCAAGATTCTCGATCGTGGCGAGAAGAAGCTTAGGAGCAAGATCATTCTTATGGTCAAAGTACAATGGTCAGGAAGAACTCCCGATGAGTGTACTTGGGAGCGAGAGGACGAGCTTCTCTGGCAATACCCCGAGTTTCGGGACAAATATGTTTCTAATTTTGCGGACAAAATTCTTAAAAGGTTGGGTGAATGTAAGAACCCGCACCGTTAAATTAGAAATTTTATTATTTAATTACGAGATTAATGAGATAATTCTGTAATTGACCCTAATAATTATGAGAAGGCTTAAATAATTATAGTAAATGAGTAATAATGTTGAAAGTCGCTTTTTTGAAGAAAAGTGCAGATACCGGTTCTGCCTCGTGGTATAAAAGCGTATCGATCAAGTATCCCAAAAAATAATGAAAAATGTGTATATATTACTAGAATAATATATAAGAATAGTATAACAAGTTTAAAGTCAAAATAATGAGAATTGGTGTCATAACTGATACCGGCTACGTAAAAGCGCATACCGGCAAAGTGCTGCGAAAAATAAAATAAAAATATGACAAATCTTAGAAAATTGGCTAGGTTCAGAATCCAAAATTTGGGATTAAAATGATAAGCGTAGCTATTAGTGCTAATACAATGTGTTTAAACTTAAACCGCCTATATATACTTAATGACACAGATTTTTAGGGCATTTTCATACACTCTATGTGCCTCCATTTGCTGAAACTTCATCAGCCTCGTTGCCACCCTCTTCTCCTCTTGAAACTCAACCAAAAATTCACCTTTCTCTTTGATTTTCTTCCTTAGTCTTGTAAACACTTGAGTGTGTGCATTGGGAGGGAGAAAGGCACCTTCTTGGGAGTGTGGTAACTGCTAACTTGGGGTGTGAGGACTGCCTCTGAGTGTGGGGTGGTGTAGGAACCATTTCATGAGTTGTTGAGCTTCAAGGAGCAAACTTTGTGGAGAAAGAACCATTCTTGATCATCATTTTTGTGGCTTTGTAAAGTCAGATTGTTGGGGCTTCATAGAGAACTCCAAAAACACTTCTAGCTTCTGTTTTGAAGCCTTGGGTATGTTCCTTACCTTGATCATGAGTTTTCTTTGGTTAAAAGTGGAGTCTTAGCATGTTTAATAAGTTGTTTAAGTAGCTATCATGATCACTGACCTAAAAGGGTTTAAAGATGCATGCTTTAACGTTCTAATGTGTTAAAAATGGAACCTTGAGAGTGATATCTCGCGTAATGCAGAAACTGCATTCTGTCGCAAAATATTCGGATATGGGGTTTTGGATATCCGGATATGGATATCCGGATATGATAGGATATGGATATCCGGATATGATATGATATGGATATCCGGATATGATAGAAAATGGATATCCGGATATGGCCGCGACAAATATCCGGATATTATGGGAATTTTGAGGTAATGACGGATTCTGTGCATACAAGACTGTATTTGGGGTTTGTGGACCTAGTTTGGTTAAGTTGAACCTCTGTAATAATTAACTAAGTCAGAATCAAAGTGATTAAGGGCTTATGACTTTGTGAGAAGCCTAAAGACATGAAATGAAGAAGAAAATATTGTTGTTGTGTCTTGAATTATTAGATGATGAATGTTGAGGTGATTGCTGGTCTAAAACAGATTATAATTCTGCTGTTTGTGAACTTTGAGATTGGTTGGACTTTTATGTTGGATAGTTAGCTTGCGAGGTAAGCTTTCGTGTCCTCTGTTTAGCCATTGTTGGTTCCATCATACCCCATGAGGGAATGGTTTATATGCATGCTGTGTGTTCATGTATTGATATTTGAAATGCTGTTGAGCTTTTATGTTCAAGTGGCTTATGATATGCATGTGTTGTTCCACCTAGACGGTAAGCCTGAGTATGTAGGAGACATACAATAGGGTGATTCAATGGGTGGGTGCAAGTGGTGTCTTGCACTTATTGTAGGTAATAGACGTATGTAAATCCTGCATTTCTCTGGCCAGTAGAATATTTGACACGCATGACATGATTATTCTGCTGCATTGCACTGATTTTGGAACTTATATTGTTTTACTGTTTTTCGAACTTATATTGCACATGTAAGTGAGCTTGGGGTAAAGAAATCTTTGAGGACCCTTTATCTTACTGATATTTCTTTTTAGAGATCTCACTCTACGTTTGGGGCACATTTTCAGGTTCAGGTAGCTCGGGGGTTGATACCTCGGGCGGCAGGAGGTCAGAGTGAGTTGAGATTTATGTTGTTTGATGATGATGTGCTGGATTCTGACATGCTTTACATTTATTATCATGTTATTGATGTAAGACTCTGTTGGGCTTTGTTGCCTTATTTGGTGAGCATGGGGGTTGTCCATGCCACATTGACTTTACTTTGTTGCTTTAGATTCGAGTTGTATAATGTATCAGGATTATGGTCCGGAC